TTGATTCTTTTGCAAATGTCATGAAGTTTGATCCAGTAATGTGGTGGAAATACTTTGGTATCTTACTGTTTGACTAAGGCACTAATTTTACTGCACTGTTAAATTTTGAAAGCTCTGATACGAAAGAAAAGCACAACAGAAACTAAGAGTTATTTAATTTATTGTGGTTGTTGCTGTTTGTTTTTGATTGGTCTTAATAGGAGATGGAATTTCGTTTCTAAGCAGTATATACATATAATCCAATAGGATATCTGAAAAGTTCCATGAAACCTGCAAATGCAAATAACTTGCTGGTACAAAGGAACCTAGCAAATCCAGAAACCAAGGGAAATATTCTGAGATAACATGTGGATTGTCAGTCCCTGTTGACTCCTTTACAATAAAAAATATTTTGCAAAAAAAAAAAAAGATTCTGTAGTTTCTCTGCACCTACAGCTGGATAGTAACAAACTTCCCGTATGTTTCTCTTAGGAGACTGAATGATTTCCCACTCTTTTCACAGCGCGGAACTGTGAAGTACTTTAGTTACAAAAGTGAATTTTCTGCCAGAGTTCTGTGTTGCGCTGCATGCAGGAACAGGCATTGGAATGCCCTGCTTCCCAAAGAACCTGGAGCTTAGCTGGCTCTTCTGCATTAAGAACTCACACTTAGAAAAACAAAACATGCAGTAGAAACAAGCAGCTCTCCTCAGGGCATTGAAGTCTGCAAACGTGTTTGTGGCTCTTTCCCCTTATTAATGAGTGGGAGAGAGAACAAGCTTCTGCAGATTCTCTGCAACTCCAGCTGGAAAGTCAGCAACTTCACGGATGCTTTCTCTTAGGAGACAATGATTTGCCACTATTTCCCAGCGTGGAACTGTGAAGTACTTTAGTTACAAAACTGACGTTTTCAACAGTGTTCTGTGTTGCGCTGTATGTATACAGGAACAGGCATTGGAGTGCCCAGCTTCCCAAAGAAGCGAGTGCTAGGCTGGCTATTCTGCATTAAGAACTCACACTTAGAAACACAAACCATGCAGTAGAAACAAGCATCTCTCCTCAGGGCACTGGAGTCTACAAACGGGTTTGTGGATCTTTGCCCATAGGAATGAATGGGAGAGACAACAACCTTCTGTATTTTCTCT